AACAAAGGGGCAGGGAGAGAACGTGCTCCTCGGATCCGCACCTCGCTCCCGAAGTCAATGTCCGAGCTGAGCCTCAGCATGTCTATGGCACCGAGTATCTTGTGGCCCCACGTCCATCCCAGCTGGGCTGTCTCCTTGCCACATGGCTGCTCTGCAGTGTCAGACACAGCAGGGATGGTTCCAGCCGGACCCTAGGCTGACACAGCCAGCGCTGGATCCTGTGCTGCACCTCCCCAGTGCTCTGAGACACCCTGTGTGGAGGCAGATGAAGCATGGCCCTACCCCTGGTAGGGAGAGGTCAGGGCCCTGGCTGTGCTGTGCTGTGCTGGAGCAGCCATGCACAGCCCTGGATGCGTGTTGCTGGCTCTGTATCAAGGTCTAGGGGAAGACGTGGCAATTCTCTTCTCTAAACCTCTCCTGTTCCCACTCCTTTCCCCCTCACAGTGGGAGCCGAGCAGAGCAACATGTGAGGGATGGAGTCGTGTTCCGAGCCTCCCGCGTCCCACCTGCTTAGCCCCTGTGCAGGCTGAGGCGGTTGGATGGAGCGACAGAAAGAAAACAGCAGCAAGAGGGAAACAAATATTACTAATAAATGAATTCACCAACCTGACCAATGGCTCCTGGCCTCTCTGTTCCCAGCCCCCTTATCCCTGTTCAGCCCCAGATCACAGCTTCACCCAGGACTTCTCAGGCCAAGGTGTGTCCCATCCAGCTAGGCCTCTGCCCTGCGCAGCCAGCTGGGGTAAGGGTCTGGGGGAAAAGATCTGCTAAGCACCATTGTGTCCAATAGCCCTCACCTTTTCCAGTTAGCGACTAGTGCGGGATGTTCCTTACTTGTAAACATGAACTGTGGGACTGTAGAGAGTCTCTGCCCACTACAGGATGGAAACAGAAATACTCAGCTGTGTGCCAGGGCCTGATATGGCGAACATGTAATGGGGTCTCCTTTGGATGGAGTGGTCAGGGCCTGGGGATTTGGAACACCAGCCTGTAAGTTCCATCCCTGCTGCTCCCATGAAGTGCCAACTGGCCACAACGCGTAGCATTTTGACAAGTGGTTTGTCCTAGAATTGAATGGCATGTTTCAGGGATTTATATAATATCAGTTGTAAGTGCCTCAGCTAATGGGACTTCCAAATCCCTTCCCTTCGGGAAACTACTCCACAGTCTGAGAGCCCCTTCACAGTTAGAAAATGTTTCCTGAAACGCTCCCCTTTTCTTGGTTTCAGCCCATTTACTCCTAATTTTACCTGTTCAAGTCCCCTAAATAATGTCCCCTCTTCTTTTGGTATTTCCCCTATGACGGGTTGGATCACAGAAACAGCCTTTGGGGCTGCCACCTGATGTGCTTCGACTACCTCTGAGCCTGTTTTCCCTCCTAGCTTGGGACTCCAGAACCTTGCCTGTTTGAGTCAGACACGCTAACCTGCTACAAAC